ATTCGGTATCAATGTTTTCAGTTGACAAAAATGCCTTCCGATGATTATGTCACTTACGCTGGCAAAGTGAACAAGGAATGTGAAAGGTTCAAACCACACGAAATGACATCAGATCAGTTCAAGTGTTTGATTTTTATTTGTGGGTTGAAGAACCCAGAAGATACTGACATAAGAACTCGACTTCTGTCACTTGTGGAACAAGACCCGAAAATGACTTTACAAATGGTGACAGCAGAATGCCTACGTTTAATCAACTTGAAGCACGATACTGCTATGGTGGAGTGCAAACGACAGTCGTCTGAATTTGGTTCAATTAACACAGTGAAAAGTCCTCCGATCACCGTTAAGCACACAGCACGTCAGTCTCAGAATTCAGCTAAACCTCCTTCAGTGTGCTGGCACTGTGGTTCGTGGCATTTTGTCAAGTTCTGTCCTTTCAAGAAACATAAATGCCGTAATTGTCACCGTTTTGGACATAAGGAGGGTTACTGTCCACCGCAGAAAAATTCTTCGGTGAGGAACAGAAGTAGTCGTTTCAAGCCGAAACAATCTCCTCGAGTACAGACCATTTTCACAACTTCCAAAGTCGATTTCGCCAGCAAACGTAAGTACATTACACTAGGTATTAACGGCAAACATATTCGTCTTCAGTTGGATACGGCATCAGATATTACCTTAATTTCCCGAACTACGTGGCGCATACTTGGGTGCCCACAGATTCTGCCGACCGAGCATGTCGCTAAGAATGCCTCTGGAGATATACTGAAACTCGTGGGTGAGATAAATTGCCAGGTTCAGTTTGGTGAGCATCACTTCAATGGTGTATGTTACGTTACAAACTACCATGATTTGAATTTGCTTGGTCTTGACTGGTTAGACAAGCTCCATATCTTTAATGTACCATTAAATTCAGTATGCTCTAATGTTTCGTCCTCACCACATAACGTTGTTCCCGGACATGTATCTGATCAATCTCTCTTGCAACGCCTTCGTCAAAAGCACGCTTCTGTCTTCCAGGACAAACTTGGTTGCTGCAAATTTACCCAAGTTGTTTTGTCTCTAAAGCCAAACGCGAAGCCAATTTTTCGTCCAAAACGTCCAGTTCCGTATGCTGCTGTCACATTGGTTGAGAATGAACTCGACAGACTGGAAGCATTGGGTGTCATCAAACCAGTAACGTATTCGCCCTGGGCTGCTCCGATAGTTGTTGTACGCAAAGCAAATGGTTCCATTCGCCTGTGTGCAGATTTCTCAACTGGGTTAAATGATGCTCTAGAGGACCATGCTTATCCATTACCAATTCAAGAAGACTTATTCGTCAAACTTAATGGTGGAAAATGTTTTGCAAAAATTGACCTTGCTGATGCTTATCTTCAAATAGAAGTTGAACCAAAGTCTCAAGAGTTGCTAACAATCAACACTCATAGAGGTCTCTACCAGTTTACTCGCTTACCATTTGGTGTGAAACCAGCACCCGCAATTTTTCAGCAGATCATGGATACTATGCTTGCTAACCAACCTGGTGTTGCTGTCTACCTCGACGATGTGATAATCACAGGGAGTAGTAAGTCTGAATTGTTTGATCGACTTGACGCTGTGCTATCCAAAATGTCAGAGTTTGGGTTCTACCTTAAAGAGGATAAATGTACATTTTTCATGGATTCAGTAAAGTATCTTGGGTTCATTTTCGATCAACATGGACGTCGACCAGACCCAGAAAATGTACGTGCTATTCAGAATATGCCCGCTCCCACTAATGTTGCCACTCTGCGATCTTTCCTTGGCCTCATCAGCTATTACAGTGCATTTCTACCAGAGCTTCATCACATACGTGCTCCACTGAATCGCCTGTTATCGAAAAATGCAAAATGGAATTGGTCACCTGAATGTCAAAATGCATTTAAAAAAGTAAAATCGTTACTCCAGTCAGACATGCTGCTTACTTATTATGATCCAAGTCTTGAAATCATCCTTGCTGCAGATGCATCCGACTATGGTATTGGTGCTGTTATATCTCATCGTTTTCCTGACGGAAGGGAGAAAGCTATTGCACATGCATCTAGAACACTGAATACAACCGAACGCAAATATAGCCAAATTGAGAAAGAAGGTTTGGCGCTTATCTTCGCAGTCAAAAAGTTTCACAAAATGCTTCATGGTAGGAAATTCACCCTATTTACTGACCATAAACCCCTGTTATCGATATTTGGTTCGAAAAAGGGCGTTCCAGTGTACACTGCGAATCGGCTTCAAAGGTGGGCTGTCATGTTACTGGGATATAATTTTGATATCAAATACAAACCTACCTCTGAATTTGGCCAGGTAGATGCATTATCACGGCTGCTAAGCCATCAGAAGTTGGAAAGCGAGGATGTTGTTATTGCATCCATCTCTGTTGAAGATGATGTAAACAGAGTTCTGGTAGGCGCGACTCAACTTCTTCCGGTGACTGCAGTTGAGGTTGCCAGACACACACTGCGTGATCCAGTTTTACAGCAAGTATCAAAGTTCATCCGATTTGGCTGGCCTCCACATGTTCATTCAAATGTTTTAAAACAGTTTTACCAGCGACGCCAATCCCTATCCATCGTTAATGAATGCATAATGTTTGCTGATCGTGTTGTGGTTCCAGCTAATCTTCGTGACCATGTGCTTCGGCAGCTTCATATATCACATCCTGGTGTTGGGAGAATGAAGGCGATCGCTCGCAGTTATGTTTACTGGCCCAACATCGATGACCATATCGAAGACCTCGTTCGCAAGTGTAGTAAATGTGCTCAAGCATCAAAGTGTCCACGCAAGACAGAACTATGTTCCTGGCCACGACCGGACAAACCATGGTCCCGTGTTCATGTTGACTTCGCTGGACCGTTCAATAGTATGCATTTCTTAATATGTGTCGACGCGTTTTCCAAATGGCCAGAGATATTTCCTATGCATTCTGCCACATCAATTGCAACAGTGTCCCACCTACGTCAACTATTCTGTCGTTTTGGTATGCCTGATGTTCTGGTGTCCGATAATGGATCGCAGTTCACCTCATCACTGTTCTCAGATTTCTGCAAACTGTTTGGCATCCAGCATATTCGTAGCCCCCCGTATCATCCCCAATCGAATGGACAGGCTGAACGTTTCGTCGACACCTTTAAGCGTGCTTATGCAAAAGCGAAGGGGGAGGGAACAACAGAAGAAATTTTGGATAGATTCTTGCTGCATTATCGTACGACGCCAAATCCTTCCGCCCCAAATCAGTTATCCCCAGCGGAAATTATATTTGGCCGAAAGATCAGAACTGCCCTCGACTCAATTAAGCCTAGGCAAGTAAAGCAGGGCTGCAGAAATACAAAAATGGAAAACCAATTCAATCGCCATCACGGAGCTAAACGTCGAGTTTTCAAATTGTATCAGCAAGTTTATGTACGAGATTTTCGCTATTCACCTCCGAGATGGATTCGAGGACAAATAGTGGGGCAGAAAGGAAGGGTTTTATACAAAGTGAATGTAGAAGGACAGTTATGTGTCAGACACACGAATCATATACGAGATGCGTCAGATAGACCTGACAATGGGAGACGAGACCTCACGTTAGAAGTATTAGTAGATACATTTAATCTTCCGCAGCCGGAAGCCCGGGACACAGATCACACTCTATCCAGTACCATGCGAAGGTCAACTCGACAAAGAAGAGCTCCGAAACCTTTTCAAATAGATCCAAAAAGCAAGTCCTACACTCTTTACGGGGAGAGGTGATAGGATCCCACATATTTTGGTATTGACTGTTAATCTTGTATATATGGTATATTATCATTCTCACACATTTTGGTAGTGACTGTTAATCTCGTATATATGGTATATTATCATTCCCACACATTTTGTTATTGACTGTCAATCTCGCACATATGGTATATTATCATCTTTCACGCACTTTGTTATTGGCTATTAAGATCAATTATTTCAAATGCTGTTAGCTGTCCATATTGTTGTAAAATGTATAAATACCATGGCTTTCTTTGTCGTTGTTGCACTTCAATACACAGTCACAGTCCAGCCTTTGTCTTTTGATATTTGCGTGCTTTACTAAATCGGAAGGTACGACAAGCAGATAGGCAGATTAGTTCAGGCGCAGACAGAGCAAGGTGAAAACGTCTTCCTTGAATACCCTACAGTTATAACAAATTGGCGACGGGGTTTACCTTAATTCAGTGCAGTTATAACAAATACATAGGTCAAGCTAGTACGACAGGGGCAGTCAGACTAGCCGGACATAAAAACCCTAGCAAAATCTAGATTGGTTGGTCTGAATAAGATAAGAAATGCAGAGAATAATTCAGCCATAGCACTACATGCAGTTACACACAACCATACAATAGAATGAGATAGGATGACACTTTTAAAATCTAATGTCACATGGTGGAGGGAGAGATTGATAACAGAAGCTTTGTTTATCGAATCAACTGCAAATACATGTAATAGGAATGATTCAACACCTGTCCCAGATATCTGGAAAATGCTACTACCCCTATGACAAATAAGAGAGGACAAAGAAAACTATAGAACTCAAGTTTCGAAGTCGTGTGATTACAATTGATATGATTAGGAACAATAAATTGTGTTCGAAACGTCATCCAGTAAATGATACTGTTTCACTGTGTGATACATCTAATAAACAAACTAATATGGAATTACTGACCACCACAGTGCCTAAGTTTTATACATATTTGACCAGTCGATTTCATTTTGAGATTTCAAAGGCCAGTATAAAGAATAGGACTATTTAGAACCGTATGGAGTAGGACAAAGTCACTTATTGGCTGCTTGTCTGATAACAGTGCTTAGATTAAACAGAGCATTTAGGTGACTGATTGGTAATATCGAGCTCCAGGGTGTGGTTGCGGTTTTAAGGTGTAAGTAGTCAGAGGTAAGCAAATTTATAAGATAGTTCTTTGAAAAAAACAATTTTCTGAATAATTTTCATTGGTAAATAATTGATTTTGTTTCAGGTGAATAAACAATCTTATGAATTACACAAAGAAAGACGTCAACGTAAATATCTGAATGCTGCACATCGTGAAATCTGGGGTCCATTACATTATGCTGCTGAAGTTCTATCCAATACAGGGGTTGAAGAGAGAAAATATCAGAATGAGGAAACCTCAACACTAACAAACAACTGGTGGTCGAACGGACACAATAACCAATTTACGAATGTGGCAACAATAACAGAAACACAAATTAAGCAAGAAAAATCACCATCTAATGATACTGTGAACATCATAAGTATTGATCAAAAGGATGATACTACTGAGTGAGATATAATGACATACTTGTTGACAGGCATATATATGCATAATCATTTGTAATAATAGCAACTATCAAAATTATTCCATTAGAACTAGGAAAGAATGTGTTTTGTGCATTGTGTATCTTTGCTGAACTATGAGTAAATACTTATTTATGTAAGGAGTAATGTGAACACGATTCCCATGAGAATTATCAGTTTTAATCAAAGAAAAACAAGCAAAGGAACAAAACACTTTTATGAATTTTTCTGTTATAAAAGTGAATTTTACTTTTGTATGTTTATGCTGTTTTAACCCTTGATGTTTTCTCTTTGAAAAACACAGCCCTGAAGTATGGTGTATTACTATTGCTCATTTGAAAAGATCACATCGTCTTGAAGTTATGTGATGACTGAAAGAAATCTGCCGGAAGCCTTGGACATAGATTTGGCACTTGTCAGGAAGCAAGAAATGATTTCCTGTACAAGATGCAAACTCATATCCCTCAGTCTCGCAGTCAGAGTCGTTACCATTTGGCTATTCGGGAGCATTATTCACTTTCTATAGGATTATGTTGGATATATTGGGATATTTTCAAACTAACGCTTTTCTCTGTGTTATCATTCTCTGTATTTATTTTGACGTGAATACTTGACTTGGTATAAGTGGTCGCTAGTCAACTTAAGATTGTCTAAGTGAGTAGACACGCACATTACACACACTTAGTGTTCGGAGTGAAACATACACCTTTCAGCTTTGAAGTTCCAGTAACAGTGGTGTTGGTTTCACGAGGTGAAGTTGCTATCCTCATCCTGCAACTTTCCTCTTTATCGGGCCAAGATATAACCCAAAATCAATATCGACGTCTTGTATAGCAACATACATTAAAGGGGATCTATAATGGTATCATTAAGCCTGGGAAACAAGGGGAACTAAGCGCTGGCTAACAGACAGGTGTACATAGGATACAGTAGAATATTTTATGAAAAAACAAAACAAAAAACCAAATCCATCTGGCCCTCACTAGTGGCTGGATGTATACTGGAATTTACGGTGGTTTAACTTTGTAATCTCAAGGAAGGATACCTGAAGTGGGTTAAATCTCCTCTTTACTTCAGTTATTTATTGCTGCACCCAGCCTAGTAGGCACAACAGCTTGACAATACCTTAAATTAAATCAACGCATACTTTAGGGTTGAGATCATTGAACAGTTCATTCCTGATTAGCGTTTATTTGCATATGTTTAGGTGGAAGGTACAGTTACACGCTACAGTCATCAGGTTATTCAGACTTAGCGATTTAAATGGAGAAGATGAACTCGAAAAGGAAAAAAAGTTGCTGGATGGTTTTTCTAATATGAATCAGCATTAATTACATAGTCAATAAACGAGTGTTTTGTTCCATTCCAAGACTCTTCAACAGTGTAACTCACGGTTTGTTTAAAATTACTCAATTTCTCATCAAGGGTTAAACTCTCACTACAAATCAGTAGTTCGTGATATGTAGGAGCTGCTCATTGACTTAAGCACTTGAATTTCAGCT